CGTCCTCCTCTTCCTCCTCGTCCTCCCGGGTCCCCGCCATCTTCGTCGCCTCGTCGACGTCGTCCTCATCTGGATCCTCCCCAGGGGGCGGCTGCTCCAGCACGGACGAGCAGACCAATGCCGACGGAAGACGGGTGAGGCACTGCGAGCGTGAAACAACACGCCGGCATGAAAGACAGGTGTCCTGAAAGAAACGGGTCTTGGAGCCTGGGGCTCTCCCTGGGGCTGTTTCGATTTCCCTGTGCCGTGCTTTGCGGAGATTGGGGCGGGCCCCAGGAGGCCGAAAGCGGTGACAACACCTCCAGGACCCGTCTCGTGCGACCAGTGCACTGCATGCTGATTTTTTGGGGGGGCATTGCGGAGGTGGCGGCACGCGCAGAACGGCGCCTTCTTGCTGGCCTCTGGGCGCTTTCCCGCCACGCCCTCGGCCGCACCCTTCTTGCGCAACTCTCGCTGCGCCTCGCGGAAACATGCGCTCCTCCTCCTCCTCCTCCTCCTCCTCCGCCTCCTCCTCCTGCTCCTGCTCCTGCTGCTCCTCCTCCTCCTCCTCCTCCTCCTCCTTCTCCTCCCCTTGCGCCAGTAACTGTGCGGCTCTGGCTGTCGCAGCGCTGGCCGGCCGTGCCGCGCGCAGAGACTTCGAGGGGCCCCGGGGCACCGCAGCTGCCTTCAGCTGCCTGCTTTCGGGGTCGCCCTCTTCCTGTCCTCGGCTTTTCCTCCTCCTCCTCCTCCTCCTCCTCCTCCTCCTCCTCCTCCTCCGAATCATCTGTCGCCGTTGCCCGCGTTTCGCGTTTCACCCCTCCCGCTCTCTCCCCACTTTTTGGCCAAGGCGGCGGGGCCAGCCAGGCGGTCAGATCCAGACGGCGAGTCCGCGCGGACCTCACTGCTCGACGCCGAGTGCCTTCCTGCCTTCGTCCCCACTCCTCCCAAAACCGCGACCTGGGGGCGACTTGCGATTTCGGGTCTCCTGCAGGCCCTCATGGACGACACTGGGTCAGAGGTTCTTGGGGCCACGGCCCTTCGTAAACTGTACTGGGTCCGCCACTCCCAGGCCTACGATCCATGCAAGTACTCCAGGACTGTGCTCCCAAGGGAGCGAAGACATGCAAAGTTGGCCGAACTCGCATTCCCGAATCAACTGCCCTTTCAAAATGACAAACGGATTCGACCTCTCAAGGAAGCGAGCCTTTGTAAATTACGTTGGGCCTGCGCTCCCAAAGCTACGAAACCTGGTACATTCCAATGGATATGTGCTCCTGGGGCCACGGGTCCCTGGTGACATGTACAGGATCTGTGCTCCCAGGGCCGCGTTGCCTTCGAAATTGTACTGGATCTGCTAGCAGGGCCACGATCCTTTGCAGATTGCTCTGGGTCTGCGTTCCCAGGGCCGCGACCTCTAGTAAACTATAATGGCTCCGTACTCCTAGCGCAACGATCCTTTGCAAATTGCGCTGGGTCCCCGCTCCCAGGGCCACGATCCTTTGTATTTAGCACAGGCTCCCCGCTCCCAAGGCTACCTTCCGTAATACATTACTCTCGATTCGGCCCCTAGTACATCCCACCAGCCCTTCACGGCGTGAATGGTTTAGCGAATTTCTGCCATGTTTCCCCTTCGGCGAAGGGCTTTTCACTGTTCCCTGTGAGTGAACATCCCCTCCCCAGGTGACTGGCAGCCAATCCGAACCCACGCGGGCACCCATGCCCCCCTCCAACGTCCCTGTCAAAAACACTGCGGAATACACTTTGGGCAACATCTTGGGTCATGCTCGTGGGCCCCGCTAGAACTTTGTATTGCTTTTGACAGGGACGGCGCAGGTGCCAGCACATTGCCTGCTGCGCGCGGGGCCACCACCCTTGCCAAGTAAGCGATACAAATTGCTGCACTTTGCTGCTAAATCTGGATTGTGCACGGCCCCCCCGCGATCACTTTCCACTGGTTTTTGACATGGACGGCGGGGGGTGCTGGCATGTTGCCTGCTGTGTGCAGGCCCACCAGACACCCCCGCCGCGATTGCGCATTGATTTTCGACAAGGATGGTGGGTGCCGACATGTTTCCCGATGTGTGCTGTCACGTGCGCGGGCGCACATGGCACACTCTGCGCGTGTCCCGAACGTGGTGCACCTGGCGCGGCTGGAGCATGCGGCACCCATGGCGCACGTGGCGCATCTGGCGCATCAGGCGTGCCTGGCACGCTTGGGCCCCAAGTGTGCCTGGCGCACCCGGCGCGCGTGGCGCACCTCCTCCACCGTCGTACACATGGGGTCTGTGTTGCTTCCCCGCTGCTGTCCATTCAAAAACGGCCGCTGAGCATGCCGATGCCCGGGTGTTACTTCTGTGATGGGCGGGCGAATAAGAGTGAACGAGACGGCTCGTGGGCGGGAAAGGTGTCTTGACCTCTCCACCTACCCCTCCCCCTGAATCTGGACGGGGCACCCCGCGATCCATTGGAGCGTTCTAGAAGGCCTCGGCGAAAATGTACAACATATTTTTGTTATTGGCCTCCTGGGGGGGCGCTAACAGCCCCTTCTTTGATCGAGCTCCTCCAGGATGGCCCCAAGACGCCCCCCACGGCTCCTCAGAGTACCCAGAGAGGGCCACAAGGGGCGCCCACCCCGAGACACCCCTAAGAGGACTCCAATAAGTTCCCAAGAGATATCCGAATAGACTCCGAAAGGCATCCAAGAGGCCTCTGGCCTTTCTCTTCCTCCTCCTCCTCCTCCTCCTCCTCCTCCTCCTTCTCCTCCTCCTCCTCCTCCTCCTCCCCTCCCTCATCCCCATCCCCCTCCCCCATCCCCTCCCCCCCCCCCCTCCCCTTCCTCCTCCTCCATGCTTCTACTGCTCCTCCTCCTCCTCCTCCTCCTCCTCCTCCTCCTCCTCCTCTCGCCCCCCCCACCTGGGGTATGACGGCGTCCCGAAAGCTTCCGAGCCACTGCATGCTCCTCCACCTCCCTGATCAGGGCAACTCGCCTGGGCATCGTTTCTGGATGGGCTCGTGGGATTACTTTTTGCTCGCGAGCGCGAACAGAAGGGCTGCGCGCCGTCCAAAGCTACAAACTGGTGTTTTTTTACGTCGAGGCCGCAAGCGGAAGCGCATGCGGCGTCCGAAGTCAGCCCGGGCTACGAGCCAAACCTAATTACCTAAGCGCGCGAACCAACGGCCGCCGAAACTGCCGCCGAGGGACGCCGAGGAGCGACGCCGGGGACTGAAAGCAGAGCTGCAAGAGGTGCCAGGTGTGCCAGGCGGCTGAAGTGCAACCGTTCCAGGTGCGAGACCACCGGGAAGGCAAACGAATTGTACCTTGTCGCGCCAGGCGCCAGAGGTAAACGAGCCACCCGAGCATAGCGTGGGGCTGAGCAAGCAGCCCAGCGTACCTGTGTCGCATGCAAACAGTGGCAACCTCAGGTGGTTGAACAAGAAGGCTAGACCACTCATGAGCAATCCACGGCTGGTGGGGGTTACGCGAAGCGTCTAGAAACACGCCGGGTCGGCGCTCCGAAGGCCACGCTGCATTGAACGTTCCATTCGATCTGCGCCCCCAAGGCCCCAATCCTTTGTAAATTACGCTGGGTCCGTGCTCCCATGGTTACGTTGCCTTGGAACTTACAACTGGACCCGCGCTCCCAAGGTCGCAGTGCTTTGGAACGTGCACTGGATCTGCGCTTCCTGGGTAGCGCCCCCTCGCAAATTACGCTGGATCCGCGCTCCCAAGGCCATGATCATTTGTAACTTACGCTGGGTACACTCTCCAAGGGCTACGATCCGTACTGAATTACGTTGGATCCGTCCTCCCAAGGCAGTGGCCCTTCCCAAGTATACGATATCTGGTGAATTAAAATGGACGCGCTCTCAAGGCCACGGCCCCTTCCCAAAACCACGGTCGTAGTAGATTGCGCTGCACCCGCGCTCCCGCTCCCAAGGCCACCATCCTTTGGACATGGCACTGCGTCCACGCTCCCAACGCCACAACCACTATAGAGACTTGCGCGGGGTCCGCGCTCCCAAGGCCGCGCCCCCCCCCGGTAATCACGCTGGCTCCATGCTCCGAGGGCTACGAGCCTTCGTGACTCATGCTGGGTCCGCGCTCCAAGGGCCACGATCTCTTTGGAGTTGCACTGGCTCCGCGCTCCCGAGCGGCGAGTCCCTGGTAACGTTGACCGACGTGCCCTCCAAGCGGCCCGAGGGGGACCCGAGGGCCCTGGATCTGATTGGACAGTACTCCAGCAGCGCCCGATGAGACTCCTGGATGCTCGAGTGGGCGGGCTGCAAAAGAGCAGAAAGAAGGCGCGGGCATTGGCCTGAGAGGGCCCACGACAAACCGAGTGGAGCCCAAAGGGATCAAACAATGTTCACTAACAGTGGGGAGACCCCCCCCTGGGCGCTCAAGAGGAAGAGGTCCAGACCCGAACGAGCTGGAGGATACCCCGATGCCTGGGGGAGGAGGTCCTGGCGGCAACTGCCGACTGCCTTGAGGTGTGTGGGCACGGGATACATCTCTCCACGCCAGCTGCGAGTCTGCGGAGGCGAACGCGGGGAGCGCGAAGGCTCAGGGCCCATCCAAGGCCCGGGAACCTGGCCGAACTCGGCGCCCCCCCCCCCGAGGACGCCGACCCCGGCATCCCCAGCATCGTGGAGATGTCTGCCGGAAGTCTGGCCAGCTCCCAGCTTTTCTGGCACACGCAAACAGCTAAGCGATGTATGCCTTCGTGGATCTGGCAGAGACAGTGCTGGAGGACAACGCACCACGCTCGCAACATCACCAGGCTATCTCGAGAGAAAGCGGGCGAGGGCAATGCAGGACCTTCTTAGCCTGAAACTTTCGCTTCCTGTCCTCGATCTGCGTGGCTGTCAATTCCTTGGCCTGTCGGCGCTCTCTCCTTTGCCGAATTGCTGCGCGATCAAAGGAAAGCACCATGAAACTGGCGCTTACACCACAAGCAATGAAACTGCATCGCCTGAGATGACAATCCGCATTCGCATGCAAGGGAGACCGCAACGACGGTTAACCATAACCATAATGACGGCTGGTACGCGCGGCCAACGCTCATGACACACCACGACAGCAGCTGGTGCTGGCAAGGGACGTTCGTTGCGAGTCAGGGCAACGGCTGCTGCCAACGCCAAGAAGTTGTTGGCAAACTCGAGCGACGGCAGATGGCGGCAATTGGCACCACTAGTGGGCCCGTGCGCTGGCTAGCGGCTAGCGGCTAGCGGCGGCCAGCTTCGTCGCAGACCGAGACGAGCGACGGCAACAAGCATGCACAACGACCAACGCAACGGCACGTGTCGGCAACCATCGCCCTTGGCGAGCAAGAGCAGCAACCGTGCAGCCCCAGGTGACCTCCGTCCTGACAGATCAGAGGCGACCCGCATCCCTCCTCGAGGTCGAACGCAAGTTTTTCCCTCCACGCGGCAGCGCCCCTGGACCCCAGAGTCTCAGTGCTCGCGCCGAAACTGGCGACTGCAAGCACAGACATCTGACCCCGTGGGCCGCGTTTCGCGCGTCGGCCAGCATCACAAACTTGCTTTTGATTTCGAGGAGAGCTGCAGGCCGCTCCAGAGACAACCCAGGACGAAACGTCGGTCCCGCGGGTGGGGTCGAGAGCTTCATGGGCCCATGCCTGAAACCATCGTGACGTCGGAGGTCTGGGCCGCCTTGGGGCCCCGCTTCTCCCTTCTCCGCCTCTGTCCGCCATCGCTTTCCTACAACACGTCGTGGAGAAGCCAGGAAAACAAACAACTCTGCGCCACCCCGCGCGCAGCCCCTTGCCCGACCCTGCGCAGCCCTCGCGCAGCACCCAGTGCGCAACCCAATTGGACAACCTCCGCACAGCCACCTGCACAGCCTTCGCACCGTTGAAGCAACCCCTCCACCACTCTGCCCTCCATGCTCGACACGCCGCCCACTCGAGACGCCGAGATCAGGGCCGCCTTGGGCTCGGGCTGTCGAGCCGCTCCTCGGACTGGGCATCGCTCGGACGTCCATTCCCTGTGCTTTTTTTTCGGTTTCGTGCGTGGCTTTTTCCGCCAAATGATCAAGGATGCTCCTCGCCGGTCCGGAGGATGGAGGATGGAGGAGGGAGGGAGGGAGGGAGGGAGGGAGGGAGGGAGGGAGGGAGGGAGGGAGGGAGGGAGGGAGGGAGGAAGGAGGAGGAGGAGGAGGAGGAGGAGGAGGATGCTCCTCGATGGTCCCCGCCGAAAGAAAGATGCACACGTCCGAGCGATACCGAGCGGAGCTCTGCCGTGGAGCCCCTCCGCGGCCCAGGCCCGCCGTGGCCCAGAGGCGCCCCGCCGCTCCCCTGCGGATGCGCTGCCCTGGGGGGCGGCACGGTGGCCGCCTGCTGTCGCTGCGCTGCCGTTTTCCTGGAGGGACCGCCCGTCCCAGCAGTCCTCTGGGCCTACTGCGGCATGCTCTTCGACCCCCCAAAGCGCTCTCATTCGCCGGCCCAACGGGCCAGAGGCGTGCTAAGATCTCCGGTACCTGCTTTACACAATATTTCTAGTTCGCGCGCGCGGGGCGGCCCCTGGGGGGCCCCGGACGAAAAGTACCCCGGCCGATCCCCGGCCGGGTCCCGGGCGATCCCCGGGGGGGAGGCTATTTTTCGCCACCCCTCACGAGGATCGTGGCCTCCGAGGGGGGGGCTGCCCCCCCTCCCGCCCCAAGGGCTCCCCAAGGGCCCCCCAAGAGCCCCCCAAGGGGCCCCAGCGGGGCTCAATACGCCGCCAAGGAGCCCCAAGGCGCTCCCGGGAAGCCCCCAAGAAGCCCCCAAAACGGCCCCAAGAGGCCCCAAATAGCGCTTCGGGGGTGGCGGAATGAGCGAAGCGATTAAATAACAAAACGCATGCTCTTAGGACATACACCCAATATGTATACATGTCTATATACCTTTATATATGATATATGTATATGTATGTGTATATATATATATATATATGTACATATATATATATATATATATATATACACATACGTTTTGACAGAAGACAGTCCCAGGCATAAATTTTCGATTATCCTTCTGTGCAAGCCACGAGAGTTTATTAGAACATTTTAGGCAAGCCAAGACGCCTTGTCACTGCTTGAGCCGTTGCTGTGACAAAGTGACCTGCTACTGTTTTTTCGTCGCCGCTCAATCGGTGAACTGGCAAAGCTCGCCCCTCTCCGGCTCTCTGGAGGGCTGCCTTTGCTTGCTCGTGGCAGACGTGGCATGCCACGGGGTGCAGGTGTCAGTAGTGCAGTCGGACCTAGGCCAGCAGAGCATCCTCCAATAACATGAGACCCATCCGTAGGCCAAAACACACAGAGCATCCCAGGGAGCCCTCACCCAGGATGCACCAGAACGTCAAACAAACACGCAGAAAATTAGGGTACCCTCTCCGAACCGACCTCGATCTTATGCCTCAGTCCGACCGCAGTGTTTCTGTGGCTTCGCTTCCCCGTGAGCCGAACCTCCCCACAGCCTCGAGGGGGAGCCGCTTTCCACAGCGCGTCTCCGGACCAGTCAGAGCCCTGCGGCCAGGTAGAGCCAGCAGAGCAGGCCGGACGGAAGTGCAGGGTCAAGAAGAGATAGCAGGGGATATGTCAACTCCTATCCCAGGCTGCGTGGGGTTTCCGAACGGACCAGGAATTAGGGGTGCATCCGAATAGCCCCCTTGGGGTGTATCCCAACATTTCCCGCATTTTCTGGTTGGGGGAGACAAATCGCCGGCGAAGATCTCGCAGGGATAATGGCATGTGAGCTTGCTAACCCTCGCATATCTACAGACACCGAAGGGAAGGCAGCAGGACGATGAGAAGGAGTGGAACTGACTCGAAGGGGTCCTGGGAGTAGCGCGGTGTGGGCCCTGTGCCACTTGGCCGATGCCAGCAGCTAGTGTGTGCTTGCAAGGTGCTTGGGAGGCCCCCGCAGCGTGTGTCCACGGCAGGGCTTCGCGGCCCCCTGCAGTGAAAACCTCACACATGGGGTGTGAGCAAAGGGGGTCAGAGGACTGCACCGCATCGCCGATGCATCGGCGACGGCGGGATGGAGAACATCGGGCTCCACATCGAGCCGCATCGCCGATGCATCGGCGATGTGGCGCGATCCTCCGACCCCGTCTAAGTGGGAGGCTTGGATCCACACAACATTTCCTCTGGCAGGGCAAGCTCTTCCCAAGACATCCTGGTCTATCTGTGCAAGAAAACTTCCCGTGGCCGTGCGCTGGCCGGCCGGGTCCCCTGGCCCTCTTCGGGGACTCGGGGCGCCCCAGCTCCTGGGATTTGAACAGAGGAACGATAAGCTGATACACCTAAACTTTCGGAGGTCCGTGCCGACAAATGATGTTCACGCATGTTGTTGTGCGTCGACTGAATGCAGTCATCGTGCTACTGGAGCGAGCCTGCATGAGGAGCCAGGGGTCCTCTCTGGCCACGGGCAGCCTGGGCGAAGAAGCAGTTCCCTCAGGCTAGATCCGAGAGGCGGCCGAGACTCCTGCCTGTACGGCCGCAAGGACAACACGCACGCTCACAGCTGCAGGAGAGGAGGGCCCGGAGGTGAATGCGCTGCAGCACGGGCGCGGGTGCTCGGACCCCGAGGGGGGCTCCCGTCCGAGGCGGGGCCCCCATCTGACAACACACGCACATGCCCGTAGCCCCCCCCCCCCCACGGAATTCCATCCCGAGAAATTGTTACTCGTGATGTATGGGGTTGACCCCCCCCAGGGATGCCCCCCCCTTGTTCTCCCACTCTGCCCTGCTGTTCTGCTACCACTGCCACAGCGATGCGCTGTCTCGTGCGGTTTTACACTGCGCTGACTTGCGTTGATGTTCGTTTCTCGGAGCAACATTCGGCGGTGGACAAACCTCCCTTTAGTAAACCCCCCTTTAGTGAAAACGGCCTGGGACCGAAACCGACGGACCTGGACCTGCAAAAATGACGGTCGTGACGCCCTCTCGCGAACCGAAAACGGCCAATTTGCTAATCGACGTGTCAGGGTAGGAGGTCTGTCCACCCCCGAAGCATTCCTTTGACCCCCACCGGCACATTGGGCGGCGGGGGTGGCATAGCAGCCCTTCTCTTTCCTCCTCCGAGACTTTGCCCTTCCCCCTCTGCGCACACCCTCCCCTGGGTCTGGGCGGGAGGGCGCGAGGGGTCAGAGAGCCCAAAGCTGGCTCCAAGATGGCCTCTGATGCGCCACGATGGCCTCCAGAAGGGCCTGCAATTTGGCACAATATTAGGGAAACAAAAAGTGGCATAAACATAAAAACTCGGAGGTTCGCGCGGATCCGAGAAGTCCGCGCGGACCTCCGAGTTTTTATGTTTATGCCACTTTTTGTTACCCAAAATATAATCGAAGATGGAACAGATGGCCTCCGACATTCCTTTAAGAGGCCCCAAGTCGGCCTCACGTGCCCTCGGAGCCCTCCAAGTGATTGTCCAAGAAGCCCTGCTCGTTTTAAGACTTTCAGATAATCAATGACTGTTTGCCCTCTCGCCTTTTCGTTTCCGCCAGAGCTATGAAGCCTCCAGGTAGCTCCGAATGGCCTCACAGAGCCCCAAAAGGGGCCAAGGATGCCACAAGACTGCCCTACGAGCACCCAAGAGCTCTCCAAGAGACAAATCGTTTGGGGGGTGGGGGGGGGCCCTAGAGCCTCCGAGGGAGGGGGGAGGACGGGGGCGAATCAAGGCGCCCCATCCTTTTGAGAGGCTGGCCCCAGGAGGCGCCCAAGAGAGCCCCAAGATGGCTTCAAGCAGCCTCCGCCCCCCCACCCCCCTGGGTAACCACAAATACTCATACCGCTACTCCCCGAACCTCTCCCGGGGTGCGTTCTGACCAGGATTTCGAGGCGACTCCGGCTGTGGCGACGAGGGCCTCCTGGGAGGCCGACAACAAGAACCACGAGGGAAGGGAAGCCGTGTGGGTACCCTTTCTTCCTCTGACCCCTGGGGTGGCCTTCTCGCCGCCGCTCTTCTTCTTGCTCTTCTCTCGCCGCTTGGCCCAAAACTCTTCGTTCTTCCTCTGGCGCCTGGCACGCTCGGAGGCAGGAGGGCTGCGGGCCACGCGACCTCGCGGCGGAGCGGCCCCCCCCGGGGTAACCTCCGAGAGGCCCCGCGCACCTTCTGCAGCTGTGTTAAAGGCCTCCTAGATGGGGTCGGAGTAGATGGGGTCGGATGATCGAGCCGCATCGGCGGTGCATCGCCGATGCATTGGCTGTGCACCCGCGACGCCGGCGATGCATCGGCGACGTCGCATGGAGCCGCATCGGCGATACATCGGCGATGCGGCGCGATCCGCAGAGTTTCAGGGATTCCCATGGTCAACGTACCACAAGTTGCATTTTGGAGCGATTCAGGATTCTCAAGGTGCAGCAATTACGGTGATTCGCGGTGTTGACGTCCCAGGGATGGTGTTCTGGCACGATTCTGGATCGTCATGACGCAACAGTCAAGTTGATTCGTGGCGTCGAAATACTGCAAGTGGTGTCTTGGCTCGCAGCACGAGGCCATACTGGACGACATCGTCGCTGACCTTCGTGCGCGACTGTGGGCCACTGCCACTGGTCACGAAGCCGGCGAGGGCTTACAAGGCGGCGCCGATTTCTGGCAGATCTATCATGAGCTCAGGCGCTTCGAGCAGGTTGCGTGCTGAGCGATGGCATGTCCAGGCGTTGCAGGCGCCAGCCTGAGGACCTCGTCCATCGATTCTGGCAGTGTGATGATGACGGCGAGGGCAATGATGCATTCGCCAAGTCGGCCGCCTTGGCGCCGCGAGCGTTGGACAGCTACCACGCCGAGCCATCCTTGTGGTTACGCGGCGTGGCGCCCGCTTCACTCACCACGCCGCAATTTGATCAGGAGTTTGTGGCTCGCTGCCGGCTTGTGTTCGGAGGACCTTTGGACCTCCATCGCGACGAGGAGGGGGTGGTGACGGCTCCCGGGGACGGGTCGGGGGGAAGGTACTCGTCTGACCCGAGGCACCGCCGATGCGGGGCAGCAATCGCCGTGCTGGAGCGCCGTCTGGTCGGCGAGTGGCAAGCCCCTGCAGGACGTGCCGAGGCGCCCACTGGCCCTCGCGGCAGACCGTGCCGCGGGCCGAGATTCTCGCATTTGTCCTGGCCGTCGAGTCGACCTCGGGCTCCATGCGATACGTGACCGATCGCGAGCCAATGTTTCGAGTCTGGCATCAACGCCTCGCTGGTTCCAGCCGTCACCGCTTCGCGAAGGAAGACCTCTGGCAGCGGGGCAGCGCGGCCATGGCCGGTAGAGGCGAAGGGGCACTGCCAGTCGAGTGGGTGGCGTCGCACGCTGACGAGCGTGCCCACATGCTCGGCACTGAACGTTCCCTATTTCTCGCGTTGGGCAACGAGGTTGCCGATGTGTGGGCGGGGGAGGTGGCTGAGCTGGGTCGGGTGGTCGGGATGGTTGGCGAGGAACCACGAACCGACGATGTCGATGTGATCGCTGCCATCGTTCGCAGCCGTGCACGGAAGGCGCTCGAACTGGCGACAGAGGCCGACAGCGAAAGAGGAGTGCGTCCAGTTTGCGTCAGGCGCCCTCCGCGGACGCCTGCTGCCCTAGCCCTGCAAGACTTCGGCTCGTGTCTAGCCGCCACCTGTTGAGTTTCACTGCCACGTCGTGCACGGGCTCATCGCCAGCAACCAGCTTGGCTGCGGCGGCCAGTGGGGAGAGCAGTTGCTTCACAACCATCGCCATCACCATCATCATCACCATCACCATCACCATCACCATCACCACTATCATCGTCATCACCATCACCGTCACCGTCACCATCACCATCACCATCACCAACACCACTGCCACCATAATCAGCATCAGCATCATCATCAGCACCACCACTGTCATCTCTGTAGTCGCCTTGCCCCGTCCGTCCTCAGACTCGTACTGTCTGGCTGGGGTCGCTCTCCAGTCGCTGGTGCAGACACAGCACGGTGTGCCAGACCATCGGGCAACAATTGCGGCTGCACCGCGCCGTCGCGACTGCCCGTCAACGCCCAAAACATGCTGGTTCTCCATTACTTGCATCCCCACTACACGCAACCGATAATTATCGTATCCGCATCCAGTACAGACGTAGCGGCGGAGGTGGGGTTCCCATTACTGTGTTTGTCATAGCCCGTGTCTTCCTTCCACGAGGTGAGCACTACTCATCGCGCGTCACGCTTTTGGGTGGATAACCAGCTCTGCTGGCTGGGCTTCAGGTGTCCCTCATGCGCTGTCGGCGTCGGCGTCAAGCAATCAATGGGCTCTGCCTTTCCATCTGGTGCCAGTGACAGCAGCGTCATGCGCTCTATCTCGTGGTTTCCTGGTGCGCAGTCTCGCGCTCTCAAGTTGGCAGCCAGCGCTACGTGTCACATTGTTGTGTCTCTTCGGGGTGTGCACCATCATGGGGCATATCAATGAAAGCTTCATCGGGGAGTGCTTCATTGAACGCTTCATCGTGGACTGCTTCATCGTGGCGTGCCTCATCGCGGCGTGCTTCCCCGTGGAATGTTCCTTGGGGGGTGCTTCGCTGTTGGGTACGATATCGGGGCGTGCTACAGCGTGGCGTACTTCATGGAGCCGTCCTTCCTCATGAAGTTGCGTGCTTCATCGTGGAGCGATGCGTCGTGGAGGGCTCCTTCGTGGGCTTCATCGTGGAAGGCTTCATCGTGGTCTTCATCGGGTCGGCGTGCTTCACCACGGAAGCGTAACGCATCGAAGGAGGGCCTCTCCGAGGGCTTCCTTGTGGCGTGCTTCCTGAATAGAGAGACGTGCTTCAGGGCGGCGTGCTTCCCGGAGGCGCGCCTCACGGAGGCGGTCCACCGAGCCGCGCGCCCCGCCGAGCGCGAGCGTGCTTCCTCGTGGCGGGCCTCCGCGGGGAGGGCTTCGTCGAGGCTTTCCTCGTCGTGGCGTGCTCCACTGCGGAGCGGTGCCTCGTGGAGCGCTTCGTCGGCGGTGCTTCCATGCGGCGTCCTTCATCGGAGGCGTGCGTCCGGGCGGTGTGTGTTCGCGGAGGTGTGCTTCCCGAAGTGCCTCACCAAGGAGTGCTTCGGCAAGAAGTACTTCACCAAGGGAGAGCTTAGGCGTGTTCATCAAAGAGTGCTTCGTGGAGTGCTTCATCGTGGAGCGCTACCTCGTGAAGCGATTCATCGTCGTGGATGGCTTCGTCGTGGAATTCTTCATCGGGGAGTGCCTCATCGGGGAGTGCTTCATCACGGGGGTGCTTCCTGAGACGTGCTTCATCATGGCGTGTTTCATCGTGGCGTGCTTCCCAGAGGCGTGCTTCCCAGAGGCGTGCCACAAGAGGAATGCTTCACGGCGGCGTGCATCATCAAATTACTTCTTTTCTGGGTGATGACGTTCGGTGGGTCATCATCTCCGTAGTCGCCTTGCCTCATCTGTCCTCGGGCCCGTGCTGCCTGGCTGGGGTTGCTCTCCAATCGCAGGTTGACGTCACACCCGCGCGGCGGGGCTATCGGGCAACCGTTGCGGCTGCACCTCTTCGTTCGCGGCTCCCAATAACGTGTTGGTCCTAAATCTCCTGTATTCCCACTATTCGCAACCGATCATCATCGCCATCCACCAACACCATCATCACCACCACAATCACCAGCCTCATCCTCATCCTGAGCATCCTCATCCTCATCGATATCGTCATCGTCATCATTATCATCATGGTAAGCATCGTCATCACCACCACCACCTTCACCCCATCCACCACCATCATCGTCACTATCATGATCATCGTCGACATCATCATCGTCATCAGTATCGTCATCATCATCATCGTCATCATCACATTCATCATCATCATCATCGTCATCATCATCACCATGAGCACCATACTACCATCACCATCATCACTACCATCAGCAGCATCATCACCACCATATCATCACAGCACCATCACCATCCCCAACCATGGCCATCACCACCACCATCGTCATCATCAGTGCCACTATCAGCACCACCATCATCATAATATTATCATCGTCACCATCGTCATACTCATAACCATGATCAGCATCACCAACACCAACACCACCATCTTCATCATCACCATCATTACAATCACCATCGTCATCAGCATCATCATCATACTCATCACCACCACCACTCCCATCATCATCACCATCATCATTATCATCATCACCATCATCACCATAATCGTCATCATAATCAGCATACTCGTCAGCATAATCGGCAACATCGTCGTCATCGGTAGCCCCAACGTGATCCTCCTCCTTCGTTCGCTCTTCCTGGCCTCCTTCTCCCCCTCATCCTTCCCCATTTACCCCCCGCCCTGCCTCGCCCCTCTGCCAACACACATTCCTTACAGCTCCCGCCCCCCAGGAAATGGGGCACTGCTACGCACGCCCTGGCGACGACACTCGTCTGCTCGGCCTGCATCCTTTGTCTGCTACCTCCTGCTACCTTGGCTGCATCCTTGCCTGCTCAGCGAGCTCGAGCAGAACACTACTGCCTGCAGATGCTCCACCTCCCCTCGACTTTCGTCCCCCTCCCAGGCCCTTTGCCCCGTCCTCCTCCACCCATCGCTCCACGATCCGCCTCTTCCTCTCTCCTCCGCCGCGTCACTCCGAGCCACGGGCTGCGCCCCCCCCTCCCCCCCGAACCTCGGCCCTTTCAGAATCCGGCCCGCTGGCGCGTGGCTCGTGCCCGAACAAAGCAAGAAGGTGTTGGCCAGCGTGGACCTGCGGTGAGATGTGGCGTTGTGAGCTGTGCGGTGGAAGCTGTGCGGTGTAGGCTCTGTGGTGTGAGCTATGGGGGTGAACACTGTGCTGTGCAAGCTAGGTGGTGTTAGCTGCGTGGTGTAAGCTAGGCGGTGAGCTGGAGGGAGAAACATAAGCGATACCATGCAAGCTATGCCGAGTAATGTGTGTGTGTGTGTGTGCAAGCTAGGTGATGTAAGACATGTGGTGGTAACTGCGTCGAGGTCTGAGATATGTGGTGAAAACTACGTCGTGCAAGCTCAGAGCACGGGGCCCCCACGAGGCGACACGGGCGG